GATCATTAAGATCGAATGTCTCTTCCAAGGAATATTTTCTTTACGATATCATAATTCACCAGTAAGTTGATTAATAATTTACGGAATGGTTTTATCAGATAATCTGACATTGCGCTGAGCAATATCGCTCGAAAAAAAAAACAAATATTTACGTTGTATTCATGAACAGGCGAACTTTTCAAAATAAAAAAATGATATTTAAAAATATACAAGTTTTAAAAAAATATGCTGTACCTGCTGACAGTCAGTTCTGCATAATTTCTTTTTTCCTCTATTATCTATCAGACTACTAGAGTCTAAAGAAATATTGTGTAAACGGTTTTGTTATTTTTTTTTATAACAGTTATTGCAATGTCTCTCGGAAGGAATATTCGACTTTTAAGGGTTAACTTTTTAGTTTATGGAGAATAACTTTGGCACAACATATATAAATCTGATTACAAACATCACTTTGACACAATCTATGTTAAACAATTTATGAATAAATAAAAGTAAAAATTGAAACGACATTCTATTGGTTTAAGTAACTATACAGAATTTACAAACATTTTTGAATCTACTATGTCAATGTAGCTTATCTTATCTTAATCAAACGTATATTGATGTTTTGTAAAAGAATGTTATTCTTAATGCTTCGAAGTAGTCAGTAAAAGTTTGAGTACCATAAAAAAGATCAAAACAAAATGAGCAGTAACTGCACAAGTAAGTAAATTTATTTTCATATAATACTAATATTTGCTTCTAAAGATCCTCAACATGTCCCATTAGTTGGCAACACCTTATGTGTTGCACGAACAGCATTAACTGGTATATTTCTAGCATGTGTTATTGTATCTGGCGTTTGTTTATTGTTACTTATTGTAAGCAATTTGTAAAATATTTTTAATCTTGTTAAAATATTATTTCTTTGTAATTAGGGTTCACTAATATTCTTCTATAAGCGACGTATATCTTCATCTCATGGAAAATATTATCATAACGATGAATCAACTCGATCAGACATTAGTAATAATGATAAATCAAACCTATCAGACATTAGTTATACTGATGATGATGGTGTTAGATCAAATCTATCTACTCCTAGCACAGATAGAAGAATATCACGTGTCCTTAAACAAAGTGAGTAATTTGCTTCTTCATTATTTTCACTTGTTTAAAAATCTTCAAAACAATTGAAAAGTTTTTTCAGTAACATAAAAGGAACTATTTAAAACCGTGTCTCCATCGAAAACTGCTTTCGTACTATGTACATGTAAATAGCTTAAAATTTTTAGAATATGTTGGAGTTATATAATGAAAATGTTACATGGTAAAATTTTCAGCTCTATATCATCATGTTTCGAAGAAATATTCATCAAACGAAGATCAAAAATAGTTCATTTGGAAACTCGAAATTCTCTGTCGATCTTTATTCTACATATTTAATTTTCTTAAATACAACATACAGAATGAGAACCTATAGAAAATTTTGAATTGCGCGATAGAAACAGTCTAAACAGAGACAAAAAGAAAAAAAAAATTTTAACAGAAATTTTAGCAAGAGAGGAAGTTCAGGTTGAAACTCTCAGCACCTTTTGGTACTGAAGGTGCTAATACATATTTAGAATTAGAGTGGAAATTAAGATGATAGCTATGAGTGAGAATCATCCTGTTTCAATTCGATTTTTTCGATCAAGACAAGACTATTTTTCGAAAATGACGTTTTTTTTTTATAAAACTTGACTGAAGTTTTCTGGAATCCAAAAATTCGAATCTCTAATCGATTTTTTCGATCAGTGTAAGCCTATTTTCTGGGGTAGACTCACGCTTTATAACATTCATTTATTTGTTTGAAATAGACTTTCGCTGATCAAAAAAATCGATTACAAATTCGGATTTCTCGATCCCAGGCGCACTTAGTCATATTTTCTATAAAAAAAATTCGTTATTTTCGAAAAATAGCCTTGTATTGATTGAAAAATCGAATTGAAATAGTCTGAGTCTCACTCACAGCTATCACCTTAATTTCCAGTATAATTTCAAATATGTGTAACCAGCAGAGCATTTTGAGAAAACGATTTGATGCTCAGATATTGCACTTATCTACTTGATTTTGAGGCACTATTTTGATAAATTTAATGGGCATAATCATTAACTGACATGAATACAATGAGTAGCAAAACTATTCAAGAAAGTTTATTTTCAATTTTTTTCCGCTGTCGTAAGCGTTAGACAGAATTCAAATAGTGATTCGAATAGAGAAAATAGTTTCCAAGAACAATATAAAGAAATAAAACTTATTATCAGATTTTTGCAAGGATAGAAATCCCAGAAAATCAAAACCATGGTTTTTCAACACTTTGAGTACGTAAATATAATTTTGTTTAAACCACATAGAACGATAGAGTAAACCATCCTCTACAAAATGAGATATCTCTCAATTCTCTGTGAAGTCTTTTGGCTGAGAGACAGTAGTTTGATTGAAGATCAAAAAATGGTTGTTTTTTTATAAGAAATTGGAAGAAATGGACTTTGATGACTTCCGTAAGATTGCTGTATCTTAGCTAAAAACGATCACAGAGAGCTCGGAGAAGTCTCATTTTGTAGAAAATTATTCACTCTATTGTTCTATGTAGTGTAAATAAAATTATATTAATCCTTTGTAGGTACAGAAAAACCTAGCGTTTTGGCTTTCCGAGAATCTGTTCTTGCGAAAATCTAATAATAATTTTCATTTCCTTATATTTCTTTTACAAATAATTTGTCTCTATTCGAATTCTTTTTTTAATATTTAAGACAGCGAAAAAAAAATTATCATAATCCTTATTGAATACTTTTAGTATCCATTGTGTTTTTGAATTATGTATAAATAAATTTTTGTTCTAGCCTGTTGACTTTCATTAAATAAGTAGTTTTATTCTCCACGACATGAACATAGCCTATGTGATGACTACGAGTTGTATACCGAGCGGTGTAATATGTACTATATCGACAGCTTTTTTTGAAAGTATTTTATCGTGGTATTTTGTATGAAAATAGATGAATCTGTTAAAATTAACAGAATTGAGTCGTTTTCGAAGCATTCTTGGAATGTTAATGCATCTAAGCTATCTGTACTAGCCGCAGAGCTCAAATAGGTCCTAGTTATGAAATAAACTTTTTATAATGGATGCTACTGCAAAAATTTTTATTAGTAGAATACATTCTGAAACTATTTTTCCTCTCGATTAATTTAAATTCGTTCTAATAAATAATTCGAATTTAGATAGAAAGTACTCTCTACAATAGTCTGTAGCTGTAACCGAAAGTCATAAGCGCTATCATCCGTAGTCACGAACAAACATGAGATATTCGTGTAGGCTTGCTTGAAATTTGCATCGTTATGAAAACTAAAAAAAGTAATTATGATTTATTCATAGTCATCAGAAAGAATGAAAGAAAGGATTAAAATAATTTAACACATAGCAGATTGTTATGATATGTGTTTTACTTTTCCTTTTATTTTCACATCATCGTTGAATGAGTCTTATTTGTTTTTACAAACTATAGTGACATTTATCAAAATGTTTCTTTTCAATGTAAACAAATTGAAAATCTCATATTTTTTTTTCTTAAAAAAAAAAAATCTTACTTTTTTTAAAGCGGAAAATGACGAAAATTATCAAAAATTTTACCAAAACCTGTGATACCAATTAAAAAATTATGTTTTTTGAACGGATAGCCTTAAAAATGAATTCCTAAGAAGATAACATTCAGTAATACAAATCATATATTTTTTTATAAAAATATTTTTTCATAGTTATTGATAAGAATCCTTCGAAAGATTCCATTCATGCATCTCTTCATCATAATCTTACAATTCAAAAATCACAAACATCATTATCTTCATTATCTTCACCATCATCTCAATCCTATATAGGTTTACATCCTCTATCAGAATCATCAATAAGAATACAACAACAAACAACGAACATCATTTCAACACAATATAATCATAATAAATGGACAACACATGAATCGCATGAATCAATTTCAACCATTCCAGATCAAACAGACGACACTAATGAATATAAAAATATAATTTCGTCTAAGTTTTGAATCGAAATCATTATTCTCAAATTATTTTCTAATATTTTTCTTAAATTCACAAATAAGAAAAAAATCTTGTATTAGAACCAAATATATTCTTTTCAGTAACAGGCGGTTCGTCATTCTGATTATTAAAAAATATTTCCAGATAGACATAGAAAAAAAAAAAAAAATTATACATCCGTTGCAAGTTTACTTCGACCAAGTTTAGTCGTTACTTGATAAAATGCATTATGAAATGGTTGTTTTTGATCACGAGAATCACTCGAATTTTGCATACTTTCTCGTTTGGTTAATAATCGATTAGTTTTTGTTGATCTTAATTGATTTTTATCAGATATTACTTCTAATGTAAAACCTTCTGTATCAGCAAAACGAACACGTTTTTTTTCTGTTATACCATCACTTGATGGACTACGTATTGTTGAACGTGTCCATGAATCACGTTGTTGACTATGATTATCATTGGTTTCATCAACATATTCCGATTGTCGATTAATATTATTTTTATCTGTATTTTGTTGTTGAAATATCATTGATAATGTAGATGAATTCTCATCAGAAAACGAACCATTTGTTGTATCTCGATAATAATATTCATTTTTACTATTATTTGTTATTGATGAAGTTGGTAAAGATGATGAAATAGTACCAGACAGTCGATTTGATGAACCAAGTATAGTATAAACATTATCAAAACCTTGCATACTTGTTTCAAATAATGTACCAGTTGCTGGATTAGATAATTGTAATGATTTTGATGAACGATTTAAACTTGGATGTTTTATACGTGCTAAATAACTTGTTAATGTTGAAGTATTTGTTTGAGTATATGTTTGATCAGTTGGTGTTATGGAAAATGTTGTTCTAGGAGACATTCCATAATTAGAAACTGTTCTTGAAATTGGTCGATGTGATGAAATATGTGATTGTTGTTTTGGTTTTTGTTGTTGAACTAATGATTGTATTTGTGTGCTTTCATCTGACAATGAACGTTTGATTGTATTATCGGTTTTAGATAATAATGGTGTCCTTCGATTATCAAGTACTTTATCAGATGAATATGAACGAATAGTAGTCGATGGTTTTGTTTTCGAAGTAGTTGATGTAATCGATGATAAATCATCTTGACCATCATAATGTTTTAATGTTGAACGAGATAATCTATTTAATTCACGTTGATTATCTGTATTTAGTAATGAATTAACAGGTAATTGATGTGTTTTCGCAACACCATATTTATAATCATACAAATTTGAATTATTTCGTTGAATAGGATTATATGAAAATGTTGAAGGTGATCGAATAGATGTTTGATATGATTTTGAAACAGGTAATTGTTGAGATTTTAATATAGCTGTACGACGCTGTTTTCGTTCTTCGGAACGTATACGTTCATATTCTTCAGTGGATACATAAAATTTACGTCCTTGTCGATAAATAGGAACAGTATTTGATGTCATAGGAAAATTTCTTTAATGAATCTTTGAAAAATAAACAATCAAAATTTTTTTTTTTTAAGAAAAAAAAACCTACAAAAGTCGATAATAAACTTACATAATACTTTTGCAGTTGTCTGAACAGCTGCTGATAGTTATCGTTAATGATATTATAAATCCATTTTTATTTAAAACATCTAGATAATTAAACATATGGCATTATATACTCAAGTATTTGAGTGTTCATTTTTTCTTTTTGAAATTTTTTTTCTTCGGATTTCCATTAACGAGTTTTTTTTTTCTTCGTCATTTAATACTTATGATTAATCGATTTTCCGTATATACAACAAGTAAGAAGCAAACAAAAATTGTACGTAGTATTATTGTTATAGTCAAATCATTTTATGTCTTCAACGCTCCAAAAACAAAAAAAAAGACGACAGAAAAAGAAGACAAAAACATGACCGAGAAAGAAAAGAAGTCGATTTGATGTTTGTTGCTCTTTTATTTTGTTTTTTGAATGTTATTGACATACTTAATTCATACTGCTTATAACCCATTAGCAGGTGATACTTGAATCGATTTTTTTTTTTACTCCGCATCTCTCATTTTTCTTTCTATCAATATATAACATGTTTGTCTCACTAATGCCTAATTTATAGATGTGTAAAATAGTATAACTGATAGAATGAAAAAAAAAAACCGAGAATACTGACTCTTACCATCAGCTAGTACAACAATAGGTCCAATGTTATCTTTTAAAATTGCATCATTGTTATTTATTTTTGTATAAGGACATATGTATACGATCGCACGTTCATTCCAAAATTGTCTATTTTGATTTTTTTTTTTCGTATTCTGTTCTTCTTTTTTCTTCTCTCCACCAATATTGTATGTTTAGCTGTAAAAAATAGTTTGTATATTTTATAATTGTGATACACTCACATGTTTGCACTGAAGAGGAGGTAAAGGATCAAGAGGGAGTTCCTTTTTTTTTCTCTCTTCTTTTTTTTTCCTTTCCCCTTTCTTTTCTTACTAAGAGTACGATAAATAAAATTATGCAGTCTATGCATGTTTTGTCCTTGAAAGTTACATTATGTTATAAACAAGGTTACATGTGCTCTATGTCTCTTCATGTATTTCGTAATCAATTATAAATCGAACAATACATGTTGATATTTGTTCAAGTAATTAGACAAATTATTTTTATTTTATTCTATTCATTGAAATATTTTATTTAAAAAAAAACATAAAATCTTTGTCTATAAAAACTTAACAATATTATACATATCAGAGTTTTATTTCAGGATAATAGTGACATAACGGATTTTGAGGAGATGGATGACACCCATCTTGATAATACACATATTCAATGTTAGGATTTGTTAAAAATGGTTTTACTTGTGCGTTACATAAATCTTCTTCTATACCACTAGCACAGATATATTCACGTCGATGCATATATCCAAAATATCTAAGACGTACAATATGATCTTGTGAAAGTAATTGAGTTAGAACTAATGTATGAATTGGTGCATCACCCCATCGATAACGATAAATGCCACCATTAAGATCAACTCTATGAAGCCAAGTTCTTATCAATGAATGATCACGAAAAAGAGAAACATTAGCAATAGCAAAATTTGTAAAAACAATAGCAAATGAATAGCCACCGAACCAATTAGTTTGTGTTTGACGAAAACCTTTTGAAGGTTTCAAACAATGATCATTGAGAAACTCATGAAAAAGTGACCATAATCCAGTAGCATAATGTTCACCTTCTTCATTAGCCATTATAAAAGCATACTGAATATGTCGCTTTTGCATAATTTCAAATGGATCTTCTATAGGTTTTGGTCCAAATATATAAGAATGTGCATCAAGTCGCCAATAGTATGTGAATAAGGTTAATAATGGATGATTTGGAAGCATTAGAGTAAAAAAACGACACATATCAAAATACTTAGGTGGCCATCCACGATGAACAGATTGAGGTCGATTCGAATTATTAGAAAATTGGATATGTTCAAAACCTAATGGAGTACGATCACCTAATATTTTAGCTAAAGATTTTTGAATATCATCAGAACTAAAATCACCTTCATGAAAAATGACAACAGGTCGAGGATTATTTGATAGTAAACGAGATAATTGAGTAAGTGATGTTTTAAGTGAATCAATTTCATTAATGGTAGTCAAATAGACAATAACACCAAGATATGATGTTGGAGCAACATTTAACCAATTGACATACCATTCAGCATGATTATTTTCTTCTTTATATGATATTTTCCAATGATACCATTCATCAGTGATACTATTTTGATATTTCCATTCATCTTGACGATTAATAATTTCATTATCAGAGTTTCTAGACAAACATATCGATGATTGTGTACGTTTAAAAACAAATGTAGTAGTAATCAAGCTGCATCCAGTGATAAACCATGAAAAGATGTATAAAAAATGACATCGTTTTGTACGGTTGCGTTGTATACGTGTCATTAGTTTACTGTATATTCTCTATTGATAATCTATTGTCTTATAAAATGAATCGAAAAATTAATTATCCATTTAAGCTTTCGTTCTTTTATCATTTTTTTACAATCGTAAAATAAAGCAAACGACAGATCTTAACAGAAATAATCTTGATGTACAAACGTTGTCTTATGATTTGCTTGAGTAATTTTTTTTCTCAGTATAAAATAAAAAACAGGTTAAATGAATATTTTTTGACTTTTCGAATAAATATTAAATATAGAACACAATCGTTCATCCGTGAAAATACGTCCTTGATATGATAGGAAAGAAAAAAAATAACTTGATAGGTTATCACTTTTCATATGAAACGTACACGAAAAGAAATGTAATATTATTTCTGTTTTTTTTTTCGAAAAATATGATTGAATCATTATCATAATTTTGTTGACTTGATACTATAAGAATTTCAATTACAGATATTCTGTTTTAATTCGAATACTCTATAAAGTTTGAAAATAGAATAACTATTAATTATCTACATTTCGTATTGTGTGAAAATTGTATAACAGTAATGTATAAGGATGAATTAAATCATACATTGGAATAGTTGCCATTTGATGTACATATGTTAAGCAGCATTTATTATATTGAGGTTATTTCTCTTTACAACGAAAATCTCATTGTCATGTAGAATCGCATCATTTTTTTTTGTAAATATCGATCTTAACTCTTGGTTCTATGAAGAATCCATTGTAACTTCTTATCAGTTCAGTATAAACTAAATTTATATTAAGTTTAAGGTAAAAATTATGGAAAACAGATGATCTATTGACTTTTTCGCTTTTCTCAAACGATTTCTACTTCTAAAATTCAATTATGAATTCCTTTTCAAATAATAGTTTTATTGTTTGTTCAATAATGACTTCCATATTATTCAGATTAAGAGATGCTTCATGTTAGTGAATCTCTCTGTATTAACTATTCATCATTATTTCTTTCAGTTTCAAATCATAATGGAGGCTCATTTTCACTGATTGATATGTAGTAATTCATATACTCAGTCAAACAGAATAAATAACAGACAACGTATAACGAATGACCGTGTTTTGTATTTCATATTGTTATCATCCGATAAATTTTACTTTAAAAAAATACACCAAAGAGATACAGCGTGAAAAGTTTATTCAATATATGCATATTTTATTTTCGAAATGAATGAAATTCTATTCGATCAATTTTCGTCACTGCGAATATGATGATTTTTTTTTGTTAAATGACCCATTCACTCTTTTATGTCATCGATTGAAGAAAATTCAATTCACTGACAAAGAAATACTTTTCATTAGAACGCGTTTATGTAGTGAGTCGATAGGAAGTAGATGAACAGTGGAGCACAAAGCAGAAGACTAAATATTCAAATAAGATTATGGTATGGTTAGGTGCTTCTAAAAGTGGACTTGCTTTCACAATTATATTTAAACTCGACAGAACATTCTCACATGAAAAATTATATTGAAATTGTTCTTCTTTATGAACAATCTCTGAATGAAAACGGTCGTTGGGTGATAGCTTCATCTATCAACAAAAAGAATGACACACAGCATACTCAATCACAGATGACCATCAAACAATCCTGACTTCAACGTTTTGGATTATTAAATGTTGGAACACTATCGCCAATAATATGCAATTGGACGATGTTAAAAACTATGGCTCACTCGTTGATGAAATAAGAAAAGGGAGTTCCTTGTGTACTAAAAAAAGTTAATTATATTCGCAACGTCGAAAATTGATCAAACAGAATTTTATTCATTCCGAAATCAAAAAGATGCATGTTGTAAATAGGCTTTTTACGCTGTATCTCTGTAGTATATTTTGTTTTTTTTTAATAAAATGTATCAAATGATGAAAACATGAAATACAAAACGTAGCCATTCGTTATGCCCAACCCGTTACATAATTAAAAATGGCTATATATAATCATTGTTAATTTGAAAAAACCTCGTGTCGTCAAAAAAACGTTTCAGAAGAGATATAGCGAGGTACTGCGATTTGCACTTTCATAATTATTATGACTTTGAGCCATGTCCTTGTTAAAAGTGAGGTTTTTGTGCAATAAGAGACGATTCTTCGTCTAAAAAAACTCGTACCTTGCTGAAAAAAGTCGGTTTTTCTTACAGTAGTTGTTCAGTGACAGACTTCAAAAAAAACATTCACACTATCTCTGAAGATATTGTTTAAGTAATGGCTGGCATCTCTTTAGAATTCTGGATCCGCCACTATTTCTGTTCATCCATAAAATGTCGAGTAGAAGTGTAAAAGTCTAAGGATTTCAATAATCTCTAAAGAACGAGAGACGGTTTGGGACGATTTTGGCCCAATTAAAAAGTAAAGGTACTTTCTCATGAAACTTTCACCAATTGTAGAGCTCGAAGTTACTAGTTACTCTTATAAGTTTCAGTTTCGTCGATCAAACTTTTCCCTTGCTTTCGTAACCAACCAAATATGCTCTATTGGGACCTATAAGGGGCAAAGTATACTTTATTTTCGAAATACTATTTCAATGATTGGATAAGTTGTGTTAAGCATCATTTGATAGAGAATTTAATTCTGCAGAAAACTATATAAATACCTTTAAATAAAGCTGAAAAACTGTTTACAAAAAGTTTCGAATACTACCAGCCGCTATCCACACATAGGCTATACCCTAATATTGTATATTTTCCATCTCCACTCTAAGATTCAGAACCGAAGCCATTTTTTCAGCATCAATATCAATCATCAAGAGCTACAAAATGGCTAAGATAAATGCGTGCAAAAAACCTGTCTTCTGTCTATTGTCTAGTACATACCGAACCAAATATGAACAAAACTATCTAATAGTGGACCTCATGTGCCTTCGATCTCAACTATTCAATTCAGAACCGGAGCCAATTTTTCAGCACGAGTAGCAATTAGGGGTGACCCTTTATCTTTACTTTCCTTTATAATAAAGGATAAAGATAAATGAATTCTTTACTCTTAAAAAATAAAGATAAATGGATCCTTTATTTTTAAAAAATAAAGATAAATGATCATTTATTTTTAAAAAATAAAGTTAAATAAATAAAGAAATACTTTATTTTTAAAAAATAAATGTAAATGAATCGTTTATTTTTTAAAAAATAAATGGAAAATAAAGGAATAAATGATACTTTTTACGATGACAGATAATGTAATTGAAAGAGCACTAGAATCATGAAATAAAACACATAAGCTGTAATGAACATCATTTTTTGTATGATTTAATTCCAAGTGTATCGACATATAAAAAGCTTCTTTTGGCAGGCACTATTTGCTATTGATATATTTATTTTGGCAAGCACTATTCGCTATTGATATATTTATTTTGGCACGCACTATTTGCCATTAATACATTTATTTTGGCAGGCACTATTTGCCATTGATATATTTATTCTCTATAGTATATCGCAATGCAAATTTAACATGATAATTGGGATAGAAGGTAGACTAGTTTAATAATAGTAAAAAGTCACTTTTTACTTCCAAAAGTTTTCATACAAACTTCAAATTCAAATACAGTTCTCTAAAACTATTTAGGAAAAAGCTGAATCTATATTCACGAATCAAAGAAAAGCCAAGGTACATTGTGGAAATCGAATCGTTTCCAAAGAGCACTATCTGTAGAGCAACTTGTTTACTTTACAGTAGGTAGGGCACGATGCATATGTTAATTCTCTATATCCGTATTTAGTTGAAGATTTTTTTATGAAAGAAAGTATTAGATCATTAGGAGAAGCTCACGAAAGATAATTTTTAAAGAATCTCAATTCTATCAGTATGGTCTGAATGATTGAAGACTTTAGTTAAGAAAAGAAACTCTTCAACCAAATACAGATAAAAGGAGTTGACCTTGCATCCTTTCCTACCTACTGAAAAACAGGCAAGTTGGTCAATATAAAACTGATCTATGAAAACGATTCGATTGTTGAATCTTAATTTGTGTTGTCTAATATTCGTATGTATGGACTCGAGTTTTCTTAAAGTATTTTCGAAAAAAAAACGTAAATAGCGCGCATATTGAAAAAATAGTGAAGAAATGCGTTTGAAAAATTAACTATTGTTCATTCTCTTTCCAAGGACCTTTAATGAGAACTAAACAAAGTACCTGAAGTGAGACTGTCTCGATGTATGCGTGAGAGAGACGAAGAGAGAAAGAAAAAAAATAGTAAACAACTATCATAAATCTTATGAATACTTGCATGGTAGAATTTCTCATAGAAAGAGCAGTAATATTAGTTTATATGCGATCCATTGCAATCGTGAAAGGAAATGGCGATAAAATTAAAAAAAAATATGCCATAATTCCAAAAAATTTTTGTTTCCTCTTCACAGAAAGCCACATAATAAATACTATGATAACCGTTTCAACTTGTTTATTTCAGTTTCATTGTGCATTATTCTCATCAAATTATATAGACAAATGTTTAACCAGATACCCTAATTTTTTAGCTAGTGCATGAGTTAGTTTCCCTTGATTACCTTTAGTTTGGATTAGATATTTTTTCACAGTTTAAGAACAAAATTTCAGTAAATTATATGACGAAACAACGAAATAGAAAACCCGACGGATATATAATAAGTATGTGGATGGGTTAGAGTGTGTAAGTGTGCATTTGAACCCGATAGTAGGAAACCATCGCACTTATATTCCACACTCTATCCACATCCTTACTTTTTCGTATGTTCTACAAAATATTTCTTTTTTCTTCATATATTTATTCAAGATCTTTGCTTTTAATATGTAGACTATCATAATCACTAGTAAGTTACTGATATTTTTAGTTCAACTAACCAACAGGAATTTCTCATACAACAGTCAATAATTGGAATTTTTGTAATGCAATCAACGGAAAGTATATCCTCAAAAATTAAGCTGTGAAAAGCATTTATTAGCTTGCTGTTAAAATAAGAAATCATATACTTTTTTTGCAACATTGATTAATGATTATGAGTGAGTCTCG